ATTTAATGTTTACATTATTTTATAAACCATTAATGTCATTATAACTGAAAATGTTATGACTAACTAATTTGGTTAAATAGTTGTCTTATATGGCTGATTGAACTGTAAATATGATAATATACCAAAATTAAGATATATTTTTATATTGAAGCAAATAATTTTATATTTTAATGGACATGTACCATAGATCTATGTTGTTGCAATTTTCTTTGTGTCTCTGATGTTTCAAGTTTATATTTTATTTACTTATTGTGGTCAATCTACATAAAAACCCATGGTTATATAAATATATTTTTCGAACAAAAGGCATTGAAATTTAAAAATAATTTAAACTAAATTTATATAATAATTTGTGTATATTATCTATAAATATTTTATATAGACACTAAGAAAATAGAATGAGCAAAATTACTATTTACTCCTTAAATAAGTATGTAACATGGTGACTTTTGGTTCGAATCTCATGGGTAAATACAATGAAAAGATAATACCAATTGTGATAAAATAAATATAATTTGTTTCATAATTATAATAAAAAATAAAAATGTGTGTCAAGTTTATTTATTAATTTTTATTAAATAAAAAATTATCCAACATAAGGTACCACATGTTATCCAACATTAGGTTGAAAATCATTATGTAGAAACTAAATATAAATACGAACAAGAGATAAAAAAACTATTTCAAGCACCGATTACAGACAAAGAAATGAAAGATTAATAGGCCGTCTATTATTACTTAAAAGAAAATATAATATTATTACCTGAAAGGTATAATTAATTAATAACTTATAAAATAATATAAGTTAAATATCAAATTGTTATTAAGAAAATATAATAAAATATTATTTAATAATATATGAGTTTAATTATTGTGTTATAATTTGTGCGTTGTACGGATAGATAAGCTAGTGTTAGTTAAAAGTTTCATAAGCCTTTTACACTTTAGTAGTTTATTTTTCAACCGCATGTGTTTCGGTCGGCATAAAAGCAAGTGGAACTTCAAAATAATATTAGTTTATTAATTTATTTTATTATATAAGTGTTGACGATAACTGTTGTTTAATTCATATAATCAATAAATATTTCATTAAAGTTATAATATTATTGATTATTATTCCTCAAATCTACTAAACCCGCTTTCAATATATCATATTACTTGGGTTAATATAATATTGACTAAACTAAAAATGAACAAAAAAAAAAAAAAAAATACTTAAACAATAAAACTAAAACCAAACGTACATACATGATTTATAATTAGGCCATTAAAATCAAGATTACTCTCTCATTAAATGACTTTTAACAAAATGACAATTAAGCCATTAAAAAATCAACATAAAATGGATAATTTAGTTTATTAAGATAGTTGAAAAACATGTAAAGTACTTTTTGCCATTACAAAGCATTAACAAATTATAGTTTATAGAGGGTATTTTAGTGAACACAAATTTTTACAAAAACATTGAGCCTTTTAAGTTAGTAGAGATAGAGATAGAGATAGAGATAAGCTACAAATTGATTTTTCGTGATTTGTGTTAATAAAATTTTGGCTAAGATAAACATGAAACCAGATTTCAAGTTCAACTATGTTATTAATTTTTTTCACAAATATTGACTTTTTATCCTAAAATATTATTAAAAAATCGTAAGAAGTCAGGTAATTATTTTTTTCCTTCCAATTAATCAAGCAAAATCAAAGTTGATGAATTAATCTTCATCAATAGAACTTTTTCTTAAGCTTTATTTAGTTATATAAGAAACAATTCTTCAAATTAATATAACATTCATATCGTTTCAAGAAAAAATATACCATTTAAACAACTATGACCAGATACATTAAATAGTTTTACTAATGGACAAATAATAAAATTAAAACATATTAACTATTTTTTTTAGAATTTCAACATGTGATTTATTTGTATACTAATGTCAACAATGATTATTTTTTTTTATTTTAATTTCTTTCCATAATAAAATCACTATACTATTTTCATTACATAGTATGCTAAATAAACTGTTAAGATGCAAATTAGAAAAGTCTATTGATTATTTAATGTAACTTGCTATTTCTTTTCTTTTTTATATTAACCCTTATGTTTTCCAACAGATCATTCAATAATAAATAAGACTTCTCACGTTATTCTTTTTCCTCTCCCAATTTTTTTTTTTTTTCAAACACTTGTCTAATTAAACAATTTTTTTCCAACAAAAACATATACACCTGATTCACTCGCACATTTCACTAAGAGTTCTATTACACCAGGCAATTGCACTGCAACCTCCTCCAATGGTACTCTTTCAGTAACTCAACCCATATTTGATCCTGAAAAGTTGAAGCAATTAGCATTGCAGGAGATCGGGAGCTACAGGAACGAGCTATGTCCTCCACCCAAAGGTATACGTGGACTGAAAACAGCGGAGACCTTCAAATGAGGACATTGTGAGAAGCCGATGCTCTGAGAGACGAAGAAAGCTCGTTACTTCCATGGAAAACCAGGTCAAATATATGATGTAATAAAAATAACACGATTTAGTAGAGTAGAACGCCTCATTCACATGCATAACTGAGAAGTTTTTAAAATGTTCACATTATTATAGTGCATGTTCAATGATTGATTGATTATACTTGCAGGCTTTCCTAATCGGATGTGGAAAAAGAAAGACTTCATTAATGCCTACCAAAAATTTTCTCGTGCGAGGGTGGGGAGATATGGAGACGGTGAGTGCAATAAAAACACCAAAGACAAGTATCGAACCAGAAAGAACAGGTGATGTACCGGAATACTTAGTAAAACTCCTTCGGAATTAACCAGGACAGGCATAGATTTTCTTGCAGCAACTGGAATGGGCTTTAACAATACCAGACATCTTCTTGCTGATAATACAGCATATTCAATAAATTTCCCCTCTCCGAGATTCGTCTTCTTGGATAAGTCAGAGAGGTATATCCAATCAGCATCTATCATGAGGCGTACCTTGGCCACAATCTCATCACCGATAAAGCAACAACTGCAAAAACACCGGCCTTCCTCTCCAGACAGTGCATCATATGTATTGCATACCTTCCAATCCAATACAAATCTATTCATGAAATATCCTACTTGACCAGGACAAATCGATGTAATGAGACTTGCACATAAAGGTCTAGTATAATCTTCGGGGACTAAGTCAGTGTTGCCACCGGCTCTAGACCTAAAATTGTCACTTTCTTCCTTCTGCAAAGAAATGATTGTCCTATAGGTAGAGTCGCTTAGAATTCCATGCCTTTTAGCTTCATCTACAACAGACTCAGAGGACGTTACATCCAGAAATGGAATACTAGAAGAGTCTGGTGAATGTGCATCCAAATATGATTTGCTGTATGTTATAATCTCGTCTAAGTCGCTAGTACCAGAGCAATACTGCCCTACTCCACACAACTTCATCGTTATAGGCAAAGCTGAATCAACAGAGCAGCATACGATGACCTTAGTTCCTTTGGATCCTGGAGCTGGACAGAGGTAACAGCACGCTACATCTAGAGAAGTCTGCCAAAATACAAACAAGTAGTAAATAATTTTTTTTCCTTTTTTTTTTTCCTAATATATACGGAACACCAGCAATCAATTTCAGGCCCCTATTTGAGGAAACGCCAAGTTGAAATTTCAGTATTAGCAACTCACAAGGAAGAAAAAGATGATGAAAGAGCTACACTAACCTTGCAGGAGAAAGTACAAAGGTAACTAAGTAGCAATTTCATTGCGCTCCCTCGAACTGGCTTATGTCTTTGTGAAATAAACTGGTGCAAAGAAGAGCAAATACCATCAGGGGAAATATAAATCACAAAAAAAAAGGGTGAATAATGTTTCTAATTGAGATATTACAGATAATAATGCAATGGAAATTGGTAATACCTGCAATAACAAAGCAACACTCTTAGCAAGGTAAATATCTTTTACTTCCATTGAGCGGAGGTTTTCTAGATCAACCACTGCATATCCATGCTGCATTTGTATTTTTTGGTTGGAGTAAGGGTGGAGCAAAGTAATCAAGCATGACGTCAAGCAAAAGACAAAGGATTATCTCAGTACTGTTTGTTTTCAGCAGGATACAGATAAATTTAATATAAATACTTCTACAGAATCATCTCTATATATTGATGACGAAACTATATGCATGCAGTCCAACATAAAGCATCTGAATTGAGGAAGCATACAGGCATGATTGTCACAACATGATTCAACAACTGGAGACAAAGTCTGTCAACATGTACTCGCGTTCTTCGGCATGCTGATATAGCTGACTGCAACTCAGCCTTGAATATAGCTACAAAATACAGAATTTTAAGACGATCGTCATTTGAACAATGAAAAGAGTGACAGCAGTTAAAACATCTGTAGTGCACTGAATTCCACTTCTCTCACAACCATTAACTGATAGTGACTAAAACTGATAGGAATCTTTTAATTGGTAAGAATAATTTGGTGTTCAGAACTTAGCGGGAAATGGTAAATAAATCAACTGCATGAAAACTTCTTGTGCATTAGTTTCACGAGAGTTCTAAGTTCCAATGAGCAATGGGCAGAAAGAATCTGTTTCAGCAAAAACTTTTGGGACTTATATTATAACTGATCATGTAAGTGATTTTGATCTTATAGCTTGTATTTGTTATGATCATTGTGTATACCGTTTCTTCAACTTTATCGAAGACAAGAAGGAATATAATGACTTACGTGATGAGATGTTATGCAATGACATCCTGATCCTATTGCGAGCATATAAAGGACTCTTGTTTGTCGGATCCTCCACCCACTGTCGAGTACTAGCACGACATATCTGCAACACTAATAAAAATAATATTGTAGCTTACTCACGAAAAGAATTTAATCAGAGATAGATATATGACAACAGCAATAGGTTCACAGTCATTCAAGTACTATTTTAATTAAAAAAAAAAAAAAAAAAAAAACCTACATCATACATATCATCTTTTGTGAACTCCAGAAGTGGTCTCACTAGTAACATGCCATTCGCATTTGATCCTTTTCCACTAAAATCAGGAAATTCAGCAACCATTTGAGAAACAAACGCCATTCCAGCAAGCCCGAGAACACCACTATTTCTAGATAATCTCAAAATAAATAGCTCAGCCTGCATCATGTGCATTAGCAATTAGCAATCATATTACGCTTTCATGATAAGAAAACTTCAGCCATTAAATTTTCCAAAAATAAAAGTGCTGGCTATAAATGGGATCGGCAGGTTGAAACTTCGACAATATGACATTGTCCTTATCAAGAGTTTTTAGTCATTTGTTTCACTAACAGGGATCACACATACACAACCGATGGCCACTTACAGACTTAAAGGTTATAAGTGAAGTTCAGTTATTAAAAAGGTTGAAACTTCAACATTATTACATTGTCCTTATCAAGACTTTTCAGTCATTTGTTTCACTAACAGGGATAGTACGTACACAGCCGATGGCCACTTACAAACTTAAAGGTTATATGTGATTTTCAGTGATTAAAAAGGTGTGTAGCAAGCAGAGGCGACACGCCTCCTATTTGGGATGGTGTGAGACGAGGCACTCGCCTTATTGAAGTGAAGCCAGACGATATGAAAAAATTGCTTTGTACTAAAAGTCGGCCTAGGCGGGCGTGCCACGACTTTTGACTAGGCAGTCCTTCTAGGCGCTCCAACGATTAGGCGGCCCCTAGGGGGCTAGGCGGTTGTGAAGGTACTCGCGTCTATGCGTCCATATAATTTTTTTTTCAAATTTTTTTATTTACTTTTAAAAAAACACAATTATAATTTTTACACATGAAATTCATATTAATTATACAATAAAAATATTAATAATTATTTCACAACTAATACAATAATTATGAATGCATTTGATTTGCATAATCTTTATATTCGACCTTAATCAAATAATGGACTAGATCAAAATGGCTCAATCTGAAGTTTCTGGAAAAAATATATCAAACGACGCAACGCACCTTGGGTCGCTATGGAAACAGCCTCCTTGTATAATTACAAGGGTAAGGTCTGCGCACAACTGACCCCCCAGACCCCAACCTGTTTGGGAATATACTGGGTATGTTGATGTTGATGATATATAATGTCTTATAAATTATGCCAAATATAGAAAAATTTATTAATATTTTCTCGACCGCTAGGCGCGCTAGGCCCCAGTCCAGCGCCAAGCGACTTTTATAACCTTCGAACTTGAGATTTATGGACAATTCGCCAATTATGACACAGTTAGGCATGTAGAAACAAATAATGATTGCTAATAAACACGCAACAAAAAGCATGTTAGAAACCAAGATCAACAGAAATACCCCTGCTCCCAGGAGAAGGGGAAAAAAGAAAAAGAAATGAACAAACATTTTCACAATCTCATATACAACTTTTATTTAATGAATAATAGAATATATAGTAGAACACGAGTGGTATGCAAAATAACCATTGGA